ACATCTAAGCTTGTATGGTGAGTAAAGGCGCAAAGATGTAGCTACTCACACAGTCAGCTGATCGGCGGCCGCCCTCAAGGCCAGACGCACTAATATTTCTCCTCCAACAATACTGTGTGGTGTTATTACGCTATATACACATTATATATAAATATCTACCTGTTTTATTCACCATACTTTTACAAATAAACTGGTATGGTGCCTAAAGACCATCGTGGTAACCAGTAAACAACACCGTCATCTGCACGGTGGCATCGTGCAGACGACGCCACCGCCCTCACCAAAATGGCGGCTCCAAACCTTCTCTTGCTGTTTATACCCTCTATACACACATTAAATATAAGTATCTACATTTGTGTTCACCATAGTGAACCACTAAGCTGGTATGGTGAGTGCAGTCAATAAAAGGTGGCCACACACAGTCAGAAGACATCGCCACCACCCTCCTTCCCACAGCATTACTCCTCCCTCCATGGCACACAGCGCTAAATATCACCACAATCCTGCTATTATCAGAACCCTGGTCAGTTTTATCACAGTCAGGGGTCTTCTGTAATAATATCATCGCTACATAATAGCATGAACAAGTATATTATGGCATTTTTAGGCGATGATGTGGTCACAAGCTGAACAGCAGTGCTGTTAGCTCATGCTGCGTGCGTCAGGCTTGGTAGCTCACTCAATACCGAGGCCAATAACACCCAGGAGTTTGGCCCACGATTTTTTTTTAAAATGGCATCTGTTTACAAGAGCCCTGATGAAGGTGTGGTGAACCCCGTGTATCCGCAGCCCGTTTAAATCTTGCGTAGTACTCCAATATGTCATATGACGTGATGCGCAGTTGACTGGAACAACGTCCAGCACGTCATATGACGTGATGCGCACTTTAAGGGTTAAAGAATTTTCTAAGTTCCCCAAAGTGTCCTCTCTTGAAATAGTTTATTAACTGTTTCAATGTCCCCATTCTCTTCTAGATTATATCACAAAGTATATTTAATTTCCAACAGGACATGATCACTCTTTCATAAGGGAGGAAGGTACTGGATGTCAAATAACTCCTCTTCTTTCCTGATGAATATTAGATCAGTACTGACGGAACATCCCCTTCCCTCATTCTTGTGGCCTGCTTGAGGTGTTGATATATGAATGTCTTCAAAATGAGGTTTGCAAATCTGCCTGTCCAAATATCCTCCGTTCTTGCCTCGTAGGCCTTCCAGTCTATTGCCTTAACCCTTAAACTGCGCATGGCGTATATATACGCCCTGAGTAACATGTCCCACGGTGCGCATGGCGTATATATACGCCCTGAGTAACATGTCCCACGGTGCGCATGGCGTATATATACGCCCTGAGTAACATGTCCCACGGTGCGCATGGCGTATATATACGCCATAGGGTGCCAGGCCCGATTCAAATGGCCCACGGCTACACAGGGTTCACATTAGCTTCCTCAGGGCTCTTGTAAACAGACGCCATTTTAAAAAAAAATCGTGGGAAATATTCTCAGGTGTGAGAGGCACAGTACTGTTGGAGCAACCAAGGCTGGGGCACGCAGCATGAGTGAATAGCATTGCTGTTCAGCTTGTGACCACAGCATCGCCGAAAAATGTCTAAATAAATATATAATTGTTATTATTTAGCGATGACATTATTACAAATGACCCATGACCGTGATATAAATAACCAGGGTTGTGATAATAGCAGGATTGTTGTAATAATTAGCGCTGTGGGAGGAGTGATGCGGAGAGATGGAGGGAGACAGCATCGTTTACTGACTGTGTGGCCACCTGTTATTGTTTGCATTCACCATACCAGGTCAGTGGTTCTCTATGGTGAACACAAATGTAGATACTTATATATAATGTGTGTATTAGTGTAATAATAGCAAAAGGATTATGCTGGGAGGAGCCATTTGGGTGACGGAGGTGACGTCGTCTGCACGATTTGTCTAGCTGTTTAGAGGGTGGCCACTATGCTCTTTGGGTGCACTACAAGCTTAGGTGTACAGTTACGGTGCATAAAACATGTAGATACTTATATATAATATGTGTATATAGGGTAATAACACTGCAAACAGTATTGTTGGGGAGAAAGTTTAGTGCGTGTGACCTTGAATGAGTGAGGGAGCCGCCAGCCGCCATCTATGTATAGCGACGACTCTTAGTGCCTGAACTAACTATATCAGCTTAGCTGTACAGTTGTGGTGAACAAATTTGATTTTTTTTTTTCTTGCGCACAGGGGTGTAAATGTCCCCAGGACCCCTGAGCAGTGTAAGGGTTAAAGTTGAAGTTTCCAAGTACCAACAATCATGCCTTATCTTTGACTTCTCTTACCATAATTTCTCTCATTATCATTATGAGGCCCTCTGGTTTGTCATCCAGTTCTTCCTTTGTCCATGTGTTGCTTGCTGGTGGGCTGTAGGCATTTACAATTATCAGCTTATCATCCTGTTTTCAGACCTGCAATGCCATTATGTCAATATCTCGAGGGTTTTCAAATATAAACTCATTTACCTTCAGGTGTTTTTTCACCAGTACAGTCACTCCTCGTCCCTTCCTAGTTTTCTTGTCACATCTCCAAACTGAGTAGCCCCTTGGGAATACGACCTCATTTAAAATATTTTCTACAAGTTCCGTCTGTTAATGTGACAATATCTGGGACTTTGAGCTGAATTATATCCTTCAACTCCAATATTTTTTATCTCACTTCATCTATGTTGGTATATACTATTTTCAGAAATATGTTCCCCTTCCCTTTGTTCTTTACACCCCCTTCCTTTAATGATTTTGTGGCTTTGTCTTTATGTACCATTTCACAAGCTTTCCAGTCCCTGACACTTTGTAGAAAAAAAATCCTTCATTTCTATCCCCCATTAAGACGTTTCACTTCAGGGGGGCACGAATTCCAGATCTCCAAATAAATGCATTAAATGAAAACTGGTTCGATTTCAATCAAACTTTTTTGATGTGTTGTATATGAAAAGGGTTTCATCTGGCCCAAGTCTCGGCATCATAGCATAAATAGGATGGGAGAAAAATATTGAAGTAGGTGTCAAAATTTTTCCAAAATGGTCAAAAACGATTATCAAAAACAAGTGTCAACTGAAATCATGTCTATGACTCTCAGCTATCACAATAGCATATATAAAAAAAAATTAATTTTATTAAAAAAATGAAGTTAATTTTTTTTTCAATATTATTCTTTTTTATTTGTTTATCGGACGATTTGCATGAAACTTATACACCAGACTGCACGTAAGCCTATATGTAAGGGTGCCAATTTTGGAGGAAATTGGTCGATGTCAACTTCAGCCAAAGATGGCAGTACCTTAGACTTTAATATTTTCAAGATTTATTTTTCAAGTAACATAAACAACTTCAAACTCTTGGATTTTTATTCAATTTACATGAAACTTACACCTTAAATGTAAAGTTTATGTCTCTAAAATCTGAGGTTGTTTTGTTTCCCTAAGTTCATTTATTGATCAGCCTATTTAGGCTGCAGTACTGAAACTTGGAACAATTGCAGCCTTTTTCATATACTGTACAACTTGTCAAAAAATATTGGTTGCCATTGAACAACTTTTAGAAAACTAATCTAATGCCCCCCTTCAATGAGGTTCCTTTTCAGCTTTTCTCTGTTCTCCTTTGAGAGGTCTTGTCTTATTGACCGAAGTTTGCCATCCTCATCACATTGCAATTTTCTGGCATTTCTAAGCACTTCTGTCATGTTTTTCACTCCATTAAATGTCTCCCCTAAGGGGCGGTTCTTGTCTTTCTTATATTTACCATCCTAAAGTAATTGACATGTTCCTTTGAGATTAGGCTTTCTCCTAATCTATTACAGTGGCACCTCGATTAACGTGCGGCTCTATCTACGAGCATTTCAAGTAACGAGCGAGCCACTCGCAGAAAATTGGTCTCTATTGACGAGCTTCACCTCTATTAACTAGCAAAACCACATGGTGCTTCCTAGCGTCTCGCGGGTTCTCGCAATTTCTCGGACGCCTCCGACGCCAGTGTTGTTGTTGTATCATGAACGACAAGTGTCCCTCTGCATTTATTTGCGCTTTGGGTTTTTTGTGGTTTTGTGACTACAATTTGTAACGCACTATGTCGCCAAAGAAGCTGCTTGCTAAAGATATGTTGTCAAGAGGAAGGAAGAAACAATTACTGTGGATTTGAATAATTGAAAATAAATGATTTTACTGTGTTAGCACCTGGTTATATCCTCTTCTGGTGAGGTGGTTAGGTGACATAAGGATGAATGACATTACATGTGGGATATTAATAAAGTATTAAATGTATCAGTATGGAGTGTGACATGTTGGCAGCTTATGTTCTTCTGGCTGCTTCCGTTCCTGTTGCAGGGTCATTTGGTCTAGCTTCTACGTTGGTCCGGGGTCTTGACGTGTTTTGACCCACGTCAAGACCCCGGACCAACGTACAAGCTAGACCAAATGACCCTGCAACAGGAACGGAAGCAGCCAGAAGAACATAAGCTGCCAACATGTCACACTCCATACTGATACATTTAATACTTTATTAATATCCCACATGTAATGTCATTCATCCTTATGTCACCTAACCACCTCAAAAGAAGAGGATATAACCAGGTGCTAACACAGAAAAATTTGTCTTTGACAATGTGAGGAGAGACCTTACGAAATGCATCACTAGGCGTCAGACCCAATTAAAAAGTAAAAATGAACTTTGGAGAGTTAATTTTTCAACTTCAGATTTAAAGAGCTGCATATGCTAGCAAAACAAATATTAGTTTTATGCACTGGTAAACAGCAAACTCCAACAATTAATAAAGTTCAAAACATATTTTGAACAGAATGTATAATACCTAATACACTTGTGCACAGATTTGAATCAGTAAAGAGGAGAGAGCTTCACTCATGTATACATGCACATCTACACATCATACCACTTTATTCAAAGCAAATATCAGGCCCAACAACCCCCCGAAAAAACAACTAAGTAAAAACACTCACCACCGCCTCTGTCTCCACTGTCCTCGTGCGCCTGGTGCGAATTCAATGGATCTGGATTGTAGCCCCCTCTTGGACCGGAACTTCCTGGACCTGGATATTCTCCCAACAGTGAGGTCTCTTGAAATCCGAAAGTTTTTCGTAGCTGCCCTCTATTTACGTTAACTGTCATATTGACAACACACTAATTATATATCAAATTACTAAACTTTCAAGGCGTAATATGCAAATACTTCAGATGCTTACTGAACCCTCTCGCCTGATTACAAAGCAACTGATTGACAGTACGTGTAAAACTTGTGGCGTAAAAGTCCAAGATAGTGGAAACCTGCTCGACCTGAGTAATTGGTTCTGGAGCCCCTCAATATTTGTATCCATCTTCAATTTTTAGACACAAGTGTCATGTATTTATTAGTGCACTTAAGTACACTTCTGTGCATATTTTGATACAAAAATAATTTTCAGCAAGTATATATATCTATAAACGAGAATATATGTCCAACGCTGGAGAACAGACATTTGGGGCTAGCCTTGCCTAACTTTCTCAGATGAGGCATCGGAGGTAAGGAAGTGTCAGGCCAGTTAGGGTTGGCTGCAATGGAACCCTAAGAAATACTGACATCTATACTGACCCCCCCTGCAATTTTCATAGGCAAGTTAGAAATCAGGGATGTGTTTTCTGTAGAGTTATTTAGCAGTTTTTCAGACAGGGGAGAAGAGGAGTGAGAAGGGAGGGGGATGTTGGTTGAAAAGAAGGCATATTAGGAGAAGAGGGCAGATGTTAGGGGGAAGGGGTGGAGGATGTTGCCATGTTGAGGAAAAGGGGGAGATGTTAAGGGGGAGGGGGGGGATGATGGGGGGAGAGAGGCAGAGGGGATGAGGGGGTTGAAAGGGGGGGTTGGGAGGGGGAAAGGGGGGGTTGAAAGGGGGGGTTGGGAGGGGATAGGGGGGGGTTGGGAGGGGATAGGGGGGGTTGGGAGGGGGAAAAGGGGTTGGGAGGGGGAAGATGGGTTGGGAGGGGGAAGAGGGGTTGGGAGGGGGAAGAGGGGTTGGGAGGGGGAAGAGGGGTTGGGAGGGGGAAGAGGGGTTGGGAGGGGGAAGAGGGGTTGGGAGGGGGAAGAGGGGTTGGGAGGGGGAAGAGGGGTTGGGAGGGGGAAGAGGGGTTGGGAGGGGGAAGAGGGGTTGGGAGGGGGAAGAGGGGTTGGGAGGGGGAAGAGGGGTTGGGAGGGGGAAGAGGGGTTGGGAGGGGGAAGAGGGGTTGGGAGGAGGAAGAGGGGTCTGGAGCATACTTGAAGAGGGTACCTGAAGAGGGTACCTGAAGAACCTACCCGAAGAGGGTTTCAGGTATGCTAGGCTAGACTTGTGACAACTTAGTCCAACAGGCTGTTGCTTGAAGCACACTGCAGGCCTACATATCCACTACCCAGTTGGTCTGGCACTTCTTGCAAGAACTTCTACGCTCTTCTTATAAACATCCACATTTGTACCAGCAATATTTCTAATACTTGCTGGGAGGGTGTTAGACAGCTGTGGACCTCTATGTTCACATTGTGCTCTCTGTGCCTATGGCACCTCTACTCACTGGTTCTATTCTGCAGTTCCATTTGTACCTTTTGCTCCAGTATGTTGTTATTCTACTGTGCAAATTTGGGACTTGGCCATCCAGCATCTTCCATGTATATATTATCTGACACCTTTCTCATCTCCTTTCCAGAGAAAACATTTTGAGATCCTTAAGATGGTCCCAGTAGTTTAGATGTTTTATCATTTCTATGTGCCATATAGGTTTTCTGTATTTCCTCTATTTCAGAAATTTCTCCAGCTCTGAAATGGAAAGTAAGTACTGAGCAGTATTCAAGACAGGACAGCACCAGTGATTTAAATGGTATGAACATTCCTGTGGGATCTCTGGATTTGACTGGTTTCATAATCCATCCATCATTTTCCTGGCTGCTGCTGTATTTGCTCAGTTATGTTCACTAAATGTCAGGTCATCAGACATCATTATTCCCAGATCTTTTACATGTTGCTTTACTTTTATGATTGTCTGACTGTGTCCTGTACCCTGTATTTCATTAAGTTCCTCATTTCCACCATACCTAAGTACCTTAAACTTATCACGGTTAAACATTGTGTTATTTTCCGTTGCCCAATCGAAGACTATTAATATCGGTTTGTAGTTTTTCCAACGTCTTTTACAGAGGAAATTTTCATGGTGATTTTGTATCATCTGCAAAGGACAACACGAAGCTGTGACATTTTTTTTATCTATCAGAGATAAGAATGAGAAACAGCAGCGGTGCACGGACTGTGGCCTGGAGTACAGAACTTTTCACTGCACTTGGACTTTATCTTATTTGATTGACTGTTATTCTTTGCATTCTGTATGACAAAGTTGAAAATGCAATGACCCACTTTACCCATTATTCCTATTGATCTCATTTTATGGGCTATCACTATGATCACACTTCTCGAATTCCTTTGCAAAGTTTGTGTATACAACATCTGCATTTTGTTTATCTACTAATTAATGCTTCTGTGATTATGTCATTTGTACTCACCTAGTTGTGCTTGCGGGGGTTGAGCTCTGGCTCTTTGGTCATCATCTAAACATAGTTTCATTCTGGCCTTTTAGGATTTCACTAATTTCTGTCATCTTTTGCGTACAAACCTTCAGTTGCAAGTAAAAATTCAATATTGATGGAGGCTTTAGATTTTGAATGTGAAAAAATATTTTAGATTTTCCTGTATTTCTTGCATAGCTTTCTGTTCCAAGTCCATTTCCTCAAGGTCAGAGGGAGGGGGGAGAGGGGCCAGGAAAGAGAGGTCAAGGAAGAAGGATCCAAGGTCAGGGAGGAAAGAAGGGAGGGGGGGGGGGCGGTATCATGGGGAAAATGGGTTGAAGTGGGAATAAGGGTCAGAGAGGGAAGGGAGGTCAGAGAAGAAGGTCGAGGAGGGGGGAAGGTCGAGGAGGGGGGGAGGTCGAGTGAAGGAGAGGTCAGGGAAAGGGAGGTCCATGGCACAGCTGGGTACCCCGTCTTGTTTAGCGTTCCGATGACACAAACGTGTCACCCATAATCCAACAGTGAACATTCCCGATGAAGCTAATGTGTCATCCATTTGCTATTCATAAACATTTGTATATTCGTTGCTGTTCTTCATAATCCATTTATAAATGCACTTTTTTTGCATCTATTCTCTAAAGAATTAATTTGTGAACATTTTAACACCAACTTTATTGTTACAACCCAATAAATAACTTGGAAAACTTAAAATGGTTTTAAACATTTTAAGCATGGTTACATGTGACCAGCCAAGCCCACTACAGTATATGTATGGTTATGAACGTGCAGAGCATAATCTATTACAAATGCCTTTATTTTTGCATCTATTCTCTGGAAATTCATTTGAAAACATTCCGACACCAAAAGTAACTTAGAAAACGTAAAATGACCAATGACCATTGCTGAGCGTCCCCGTGACAGCCCAGAACGTTTACGGTTAGGAATGCCCACTGAGGCAGGATCACCAGTCTTAATATAAAAATTAAGCTTTGAATGCAATTGGAAGGCAATTTTCTAAGCCATACACTTGGTAGCTCACTTAGGTAAAATCCTACTGACTTCTGGTTAAGATCTAGGTCGGTGATGGCAGATCAACATTCACTACTGGGAAGCTCTCTTAAACTGACCATGCCAGTCAACAGCATGCTGCTAGAGTGACACTGGACAACACTCAAGTCCCCAGAGTGTAGTTAGAAAAGTGCTTAACAAAATTAAAAGCCTTTCCAAGACCAGCAGCACAAGTTATGCCAAACAATACACCAGGTGTCTACCCAACAACCCCCCCTATTGGCAGCACTATCACTACAACATTGCTTTCTTGCCCAACCGTACTGTATTCAACCTGCACTCTTGGTAAGAACAAACAACACCAAGCAAAAAAGAAGACATGGAAAGCATGGCTGGAACATTGTAATACTCAGAAAACTGCTTAACTTATGCACCCAATGATTGCCTTATAAGCTAACCCACTCAGTTCCTTCATAAGAACTTGGATCACCAGGCTGAAGAGCAGATTAGGTCAATTGTTTTACCCAAGTAGGCAAATCACTACCAGAAACACACCATGCACCAACACACAAAACAGAGTAAAGTGCTACAAGAGCAAACCACATAGAAGTTAACTATGGAAAACCAGCCTTCTAAAAATTTAGTGACTTGTGATGTTCAAACCACACACCAGAAGATAAGACGACGATGACGTTTCGGTCCGTCCTGGACCATTACCAAGTTGATAATTCACCGTCATCACAATCGACTTGATAATGGTCCAGGACGGACCAAAACGTCGTTGTCTCCTAATTTTCTGGTGTTTGGTTTGGTCATCATATCTTCAGTCACATCTCATTATCTCCACTTACTACATAGATAATGTTAGAACTAGAAACTTTATTTGCAACAACTTATACAAATCATTAATTATGACTGATGGCCATGGCTAGGTTAACTTGAACATCTTTAAACTAAAAACAAAGATAGACAAGGGAAGCCTGAAACCAGAAAAAGAGAGAACACAAACTAAATACAGGCCCAAGAACTCTGCCATAGTTATTTACAATCACTTGTACAGCACTCTCTCCCTATCAGACACAAAGCCAATAGAAAAAGTAGCCAAAAACTGAAAGTAAGAAAATCAGACTGTCAGTGAACTCAAGCTTAACACACACTTATGTCTTGGATGGGAAGGATGGATAAAATATATTCATCTAGACTGCCAAAAAGCTTTTGATACATTTCCTCAGGGAAAAACTAATACAAAAGATAGAGAGACAAGTGAGGATAACAAGAAGTGCACTGGACTGGGTATGGAAGTACTTGATGGACTGGAAACAAAGGGTTTTATTCATTCAGAGAGAATATGTCAGGCTGGAAAGGAGTGGAAAGAGGTGTTCAAAAAGGCTCTGTCTTAGGATCATTGCTCTTAATCATTTATGTAAATAACCGTCCAGAGGGAGTGAGCTCATACACGGCAATATTTGCAGATGAGTTCAAGTTAATGAAGGGTCAGAACTAAAGAGGACTGTAGGTTGCAACAAGAAGACCTTGACAAACTTCAGGAAGAGACCAATAATGGCTGCTGGAATTTAACCCAAGTCATTGTAGTGAAAATGGGTAAGGGAGATAGGAGACCTGTAACTACACAATAAATGGAAGGTAATTACAAGAAACAATACGAGAAAATGACATGGGAGTAGACATAAGCCCAGCACTAACACCAGAAGCTCATGTGAACCAGAAAGCATCAGCAGCATAAGAGAAGATAGTAACCATAAGATGATTACTCAAGAATCTAAACAAGGAGGTTTTGAAGGCCATACACACTGCCTGTGTGAAACCATGCAGCTCCAGCATGGAACCCCCTCCTTGTCAACCACAGAAAGAAGCTTGAGAAAGTTCAAATGTTTGCAACTAGATTAGTACCAGATTAAGTGGACTCGTCTATGAACACAGATTGAAAGAACTCGCCCTTAAAACCTTAAGAGGAGAGAAGAAACAACGATATGATCACTACATACAAGATCCCCAAGAGAAAACCTGGAGCATACCTGGAGAATGTTTCAGGAGTCTACTCCCAGGGACAGGCTCGACCAGAATAAGCAAAGTGGACAGATGAATACTAAAGGAAATCACACTTAAGTGATGTATTGACGAGAAAATCAATTGGAGCAGTGCAGGGAGTCTAAAGCATTCAGCTGGGAGAACCCTATGTTGCTACTTGGATTCCCACATTGCTCCATTTGATTTCCTCATGGAAAGGAAGCCTCTTTATATTAAAAAGAGGTAGGAAGAGGGAACATCAGTGGAAGCTGAACATGCAATCACTTCACATAGATGTAAGGAAGTTCTCGTTCCCTGTACAGGTGATTGACAAGTGGAATGCATTGAAGGAAGAGGGTGTTGAAGCCAATTTCATTCACAACTTAAAAAATACAAAGAAATTATAAGTATTAGCACATGAGGTACATCTAGGAGGTGGGGCATACAGAATCAGAACTCACTACCCAGTTGTCACCGATAGGTAAGCACTTAGAATAGTGAATCCCACAGATAAGAGAATACTGATCTGATGCAAAAACAAACTCTGCTCACTGGTTAGTTCAAGTCTAGGCTTACATACAAGAAACATTCATTATTGCAGCCCACTACCCAAATAATACAAAGATCCAATATAAAATTGAAGTCAATTAAAATATTGGCGTCAGCTTACTCACAAAACCTGCAACACACACCAAATAGGATGGAGTATTAAGTTGGGCTGAATGGCTTTGTTGTAGCATTGGTGCTGCTAGCTTGTCACAGCAACCTAATGGGTTGTTTGGTTGTAAGCTAGGGTACAGCTTGAAGATTTCCCTATTGCCAAGCACTTTTCTGTATAAATTTGAGCTGAAATGAGTATTCCCGAGCACCAGTTTAACCTAGTAGGGAAGTTTGAGAAGGTCCAAGCTGCACAGTGAGGAATGATGACTTGCCATACCTGTCATATACCTGTCGATGATTCTGAGGATTATCGTCCCTACAGCAGGATCTCTGCCATGATAAAATCTTAACCAGAGATCAGTAAGATCTTGCCTTGGGGAGAACCAAGTGCAATAGTCCAGAAAATAACATTTGTACATTTGCCGATACAACAATTGCAGTCTAGAACGAATTTTGAATTGTCTCGACATTGTTTCCACGGCACCCAATCACTTCCTGGATTTTCAGTGCTTCCGTCGCGTATGATAATCTCTTGGACCGGGTTCAGATTGAGCGGGTTTCCACTATGTTATTACTGCCATAATACATATACTTACATTCCCCTTTATTGTAATTGCCCATCCTTTGGTTGTTTGAAGAGCGTCCACTCACAGGTTCCGAGTTGGCTCCTGACCCAGAGTGCATATCCCATCCAGCAAATTCTCTTGACGAATTCATGTTAAAGCCCTGATTTCTTTGTTGCTGTCTCTGAGGCATATTGCCTGTAAAAAGAATTGCAAGTTACTTCCATAAGTTTCCAATCTGAAACTATAATAACAAGTCTTTCTTTCAAAAAAGAAAATTACACACACATACATACATGAAATTAAGATTTCAGAGAACCAGACACAATGCTAATTCCAGAAAACACCATAGAGTACACAGGGAATTTTACTGAGACATAGTGGAAAATTGACTCAAGAGGCAAGGAAGAAATAAAGCTGTCAGACAAGATGAAGTTTCACCTTGGGTACTAGGAGAATGTGCAACCAAGCTGAACATTCCACTTCAACTGATATTCCAGACACCTTTGTCCACAGGAATCTAGACAAATATTTGGAAAAAAGGCAAATATAGTTCCAATCTACAAAAATGGAAGCAGAGATGACCCTCTAAATTATAGATCCACATGATGACCACACCACACCAGAAGATGAGACGACGACGTTTCGACTTGATAATGGTCCAGTACGGACTTATCCGTGGCTCTTTGGAGCTCGTCGCTTTGGGTAGTTTTTCTGCTGAACATCCTGTCCATCATTCGTCGTCGTCTAACATCCAGACAAATAGCCTGTCTCGCTTTATTGCACTCTCCACGGAATGTACAGTCGACACCGATTCCTTCCTCTGGCTTTCACGGATGTATGGATGCCTAGAGGTGGAGCTCTTTACGTCAGAGTGGTCTAGGTGTCTTCCTGTGTACGTGGCACTATTCCCTGACTGCAAGGCCTTTGTGGTAGATGCTTTTTGGCAGGACTTGTCAAGGTGGGGATTCCTGTATCTCTTTCACCCGGTTCAGCTGTTCCTCCAGGTTCTGGCTCAGCTGGAATCCTATCGAAGAGTGTGTTTCTAGCCCCATTGTGGCAGGCCCAGCCTTGATTTCAGGCGCTGCTTGCTCCGTGTCCGAACCCAGGCATTTTTCTGTGGCCACACGTAAATACATGTGGCTGCAGAAAATTCCCTGGTCGATAGCCCATTGCTGCAGCAGGTAGGGCAGATGATCTGGTCTTTTTTTGACTCATGTATTACAGAGAACCTGGGGAAGGTGGCCCTAGGCACAAGCTACTCCAGTACTCGAAAAACTCCTGGCTACTCGCACACACCAGTTTATAACACTACCTCAAAGGCAAAAACACCAAAGAAAATAGGAACACGGAGACAGCAACAGCAACCATTCGGCATGGCATCAGTCAATGATGCAATGACTGGGGGCAGCCCGACTTACCCAGGATGCTAGTGCCATCCCCCAGGTGGGAATGGGGGTTGGAGCTAACAAGCAGAGGGTTATTTAAACTAAGTTTTGCTCGTTTGTTTGCTTTCTGGAGGGAGTTCTTTTGTGCTTGTGAGGACGTAGGTCGCCTTTTCAAATAGGCAGTAGTCTGTTTTGATTTGCCTACTTTTCTGGGTGCCTTCCCTGGTCGATGGCAAGATGACATGCTTTAAATGTAAAGTGTTCATGGACCATTGCTCCTGGCACCTCTCTGAGGGGGCCAGGTTCTGGCTTATGGTTCCTGGATGGCTTACAAAGAACTCTGTGACTGATGACTCCAGTAATATAGCACATGAGCAGTAAGATAGCTTCAGGGAGCCTCAGGGGTTAACCCAGAAACTGACATTTTTTTACATTCAATGCTTTTATTTTTTAAGTTTGTATACAGTTTCAAGTTATTACTGACTGATAATAATACTTGTATAACACTTTGTCGTATTTTATTATTTTTTTTAAGTTTCTACATATTTTATTAATATTTGAACTTTTAAATTAATTTTGGAAAGATGAACTTCATCAACTTTTGGCAGCTTAATACTATTTACTTTTGCTGTTCTGTGTTTATATTTTTTTTAAATATTAGTATTTTATAATAAATTTTGCAAAATATTATGTCATATTTAAGTTTGATTACAAATTTTTTAGCATTGTATGATAGTTTACGCTTTGATTGGGTGGATCATAAATGATGATAACGCCACTTCCCGACGCTCGTCCTCGTTGATGACTTCGATGAACATTCCTTGCTATAATTTGTATGTTCCACTGAACAATTTGAACCCAATACAATATCTTCGGACCTTTCAGGAATTGTTTAGTGGGGTTTGTTAAGAGTGATGATGACTATCTGCTGGCATCAGGACATGCAAGTACAAGATTTGGATCAGCTGTTCATTTGACTTACCAGCCCCCCAAATCCACCATTTTAAAACTGATATTAAACTTTGTTTTACAGGGTATGCATTTTTTAATTATTACACAAACACAGCAAAATAAGAATTAGTCATCTCTTCAGGGGGATTATTTTGTAAAGTTTACATATGCAACAATGTTATGAATTAGGAACCGAGTACTGTATGTTGTAACAAATCAAATCTAACCTTTATTAGATGAATTCATATCACCACCGGATCTGTTGCCTCCAAGGTTTCTATCACTAGATCTGTTGCCTCCGTGGTTTCTATCACCAGATCTGTTGCCACCAAGGTTCCTATCATCACCAGATCTGTTGCCACCAAGGTTCCTATCATCACCAGATCTGTTGCCACCAAGGTTCCTATCATCACCAGATCTGTTGCCTCCAAAATTTCTATCATCACCAGGTCTGTTGCCTCCAAAATTCCTGCTATTCATGCTGGCCAAAGCAGCTCCCACACCACGATGAATGGCTCCAATGTTCTCAGGGATGGCTGCAACTTTCTCATTCTCACCTGGCAAGAGGACGGGAGGGGGAATCATTATAATAAACAAAAATATTAAAAGCTGAAAAAGTCATACACATTACTTTAAATAACTCTGAGTAGAAGCAAGCCACACTTCCTGTCAGGTTCTCCAGCCTGGGTATCTACACACTCATTCACATTGCTGCACCAGCCTTGTTATTTTCCTTCTCAGTGTCAGACCACCTGCTCAAGAAAATTATTCCTCATAACCTAGATGACTCAGCAGGGTTATGTGATCCCATCTTTGTAAAATACCCCCACACAGCTGGATTTCCTTGAAATCTTAGCATGCAAACCAGTCCCATCAAAAGACAAAAAGCTATTCCGGTGGGATAGCCTACTGAAGAGAAAGAAATTTACAGCTTTGTTCAGAGCAGCAACATCTGGCCGTAATGTTGCTTACCTCATGGACTCGGGTGTTCTACATGCAAGAGATTGCATGTGAATGCAACTGACAACATAATGGGTTAAGGCCATCCCACTGGTTTTCATCTGGTACCGTCTCTCTTCTTAGCATGAAGAATGCTATACATGAGTAACATGTATAACATTGGGCGAGACAAAATTCAATTTTTGACGTTTGTGTAATTAAAATTTTAATTAAACTCACAGCCAACATGTTCACATAAACAGTAATGTTAAACTACATATATTTTAGCTCTTCTTTTAGTATCAATCTACTTTAAAATCAATTAAAAAAAGAATATGCAGATGATACTACCAATGGGTGAACATCCCTAACTATAACTCACGGAGTCACCACCAGATTGATGGCCACAAGTCTTGACCCACTATCTGCCTCCCTCAGAAGGTGCCTTTAACAATTCCACAAAACTACACAGGAATGAGAGGGGCAGCACTGGAGCTACTGAGGAGCTAACCAAAGAGGAGCATTTAGCCAATGGAGGGAGCCGGTCGGCCGAGCGAACAGCACGCGGGACTTGTGATCCTGTGGTCCTGGGTTCGATCCCAGGCGCCGGCGAGAAACAATGGGCAGTTTCTTTCACCCTATGCCACTGTTACCTAGCAGTAAAATAGGTACCTGGGTGTTAGTCAGCTGTCACGGGCTGCTTCCTGGGGGTGGAGGCCTGGTCGAGGACCGGGCCGCGGGGACACTAAAAAAAGCCCCGAACAAGATAACCTCTCAAGATGGTTCATTTCTAGGTTGCCACTCATTGGCTACCTGTAGGCGACTAACAATGGTCCCTCAGAGAAGACGTGGGAGGTGGCAGAATACCAGGACATGGGAAAGAAGAGAGCCCTCAAGTACAGAGTAAAGCAGAAAAATGGCCAAAAACCAGACAAGCTGCTCTGGGGAAGAAAGGAAAAAAAAAAAAAAAACATAGGGTGCCAACCCAGCATGGCCGACAACATCCACAGTCAGCAGATGCTGCTGCCTGAAAAGAAAAGTCGTACCAACCAGGAACTGGCCAGTCAAGAGCCCAGTGGCAGAAGGCAGAATCACACAACGAATCAAATGCTGTAGTATACAATATAGAAGTGGAACATATAGACTGCCACAAATATGCAGCATAAATAAAAAGGAACAAAGAACAATAAAAGGAAATCAAACTTAGTGAACGTCCAGGAATACCTGAATGAAACAAATGAGGGAAACCTGCAGAGAAGCACGCAAGAGCACACATTGCGTTCAACCCGTCCTCGACTCAAGTCCATTACATTCAGCGGTCAACCCTACAGACGCATTCATAAATTTTTACGTGCTGTTCATTCAAAACGGGAATTTTCTCAGATATGAATTAATATTATAATATATTAGCATACAGTATTGTACATATATATATGCATAGGTTAGGTTAGGTGTTTAGGTTCTGTTGGTGATTATTTGTATTTGTAGTACGTGGATGAAGCATTTACAACATTGTGGTTCGAACAAAATTCGTCAGTGAAGCACTTGTTCCAGAAGTGTTCAAACGAAATCGGTTGTGAGTCCAACCTGTCCTCTTAAAAATAATGTCGCTTTTAGCCGTTTGCCCATATGGCCGAAAGTGGACGTAATTTCAAAATTAAATTTTTCAGCAACAGTTAGATAAGGGTCCTCTGATAGTTTAGGTGGGCAGGAAATTCTTATAAGGTTTCAAAATGTTATGAAAAACATTAATTGAAAGTTTCCTCTCCTAACCTTTCCGAGTAAGCTGGACGATTCAAACAGAAAACGGGACAGTACGTCACTTTCGTGAGCCAATTTCATTTCAAATTACGTCCACTCTTGGCCATAGCGCGCATACAAGCCAAAAGCGACTTTATTTTTAAGAGGACGGGTTGGCGAGTCGTGTGTAAACTATTTTTCATTCATAAACAGAGGGTTTGGCGTGTGCATAGAATCACTTTTGGGTCTTTGTTTGGAGGACGGGTTGCTGCATTATACGACAGAGTACTGAGAAGACAGGACAACACGAGCGTAGCTCTCCTCCTGTAACTACACTTTGGTAATTTCTGTAACAAACCCTGACCAACATAAGCCATTTCTTTTTATTGCCAAACATAAGCCTTAAAAGATTCAAACTGACATATAAAGACATTCTTTAGATATTGCACAAATGCAGCATAGGAATTTATTTTTGTGAAAACTTTAAGGTACCTCTGATCTTACATTACCTTAAGGTGATCAGCAAGTTAAGCTCCTCACATTTAGAGGAAGGGGGGTCAGGTTTTTGACCCTTAACTCTCATACTGCTCCCATTGCCCTTTAGTAATTGGGCGCATGGCTCCAGTTACTCGAAGGCAATTTTCAGTTTGAAGATTTGGAACACGACCCTCTAATATTTTCCATATATTATGGAGTATCTTTCACACTTGAACTTCAAGGAGTATAGTTCGAAGAATTTTAAACGGTCCCAATAATTTAGACATTTTATTAAAAACATTCGAGCAGTATAAGTTCTCTGCATGTTCTCCAGGTCAGTAACTTCTCCAGCTTTACATGGGGCTTTGGAATTTTATATGCCACAATATTATGAACATAACCGTTTGTGCAGTAAAGGAATCAAATCTAACCTTTATTAGATGAATTCATATCACCACCAGATCTGTTGCCTCCATGGTTTCTATCACCAGGTCTGTTGCTTCCATGGTTTCTATCACCAGGTCTGTTGCCGCCAAAGTTTCTATCATCACCAGGTCTGTTGCCTCCAAGGTTCCTGCTACTCATAGTGGCCAAAACAGCTCCCACACCACGATGGATGGCTCCAATGTTCTCAGGGATGGCTGCAACTTTCTCATTCTCAACTGGTGAAAATACAATAAACAATGATAATTCAAAATCTGAAAATGAATATTATCAATAAAATAAATTACAGTAGTTATAAAATTTAAATGCAAAATTGTTAAATTTTAACAAGTGCAGTATTTAACACTTCCGTTGCACAAGTAATACAGTGATGATTTAAGGTACTGCATAAGATTTAAAAGTCCTGCACATACACAGAGCTCACATTTGCTTCCTCAGGCCACCAGCAAACAAACACCATCTTGGAAAAAGTTGTGAGCACCCCCTTCCTGAATGTGAGCACCCCTCCTGGATGTGAGCACCCCTTCCTGAATGTGAGCACCCCTTCCTGAATGTGAGCACCCCTCCTAGATGTGAGCACCCCTCCTAGATGTGAGCACCCCTCCTAGATGTGAGCACCCCTCCTAGATGCGAGCACCCCTCCTAGATGTGAGCACCCCTCCTAGATGTGAGCACCCCTCCTAGATGTGAGCACCCCTCCTAGATGTGAGCACCCCTCCTAGATGCGAGGGCCTCGGTATTGAATCAGCAACTGTGGGAAATGCATCCTACAGTAGCTCACAGCATCACCTGCAGCTTGAGCCCACAGCCTCACTAGATTATGAATAAATAATTAACCGATTCTTTTGCTATGATAGTGTCATAGAAGATCCTAACGGTGATAAAGACTATGTACAAGGTTCAGTTATCACTAAACACAATGCTGGTGCTCACTGATACAAGGCAGACATTCACAGCAATCGGCTACAGTCTCGGGAATTTACACTTCATGAAACGTCGTCATATGCTCAGTTAAAAAAGAAACTTGCAGAAATGATTCATATTCATGATTTAGTGTCCAGGAATCTGATGATAATAGTGTATACTAGCATCTAGTTGGGCTGCGGGGGTTGAGATTCTGTGTCTGATGTACATTGTACATAATGATGCAATTTGATGATGCTGCATCAGGTTACGTCGTCTGCTGGCATCGTTTGCCAGTAGTGCATGTGGAGTTATGCTGTACTTGGATTTCACTACCACACCCACCAGAACTCCTTATTGGTTCATTATGGTGCATAAAAATGTAGATAGTATATAAAACATGTTTATAGTGTATATAATGGCAAAAACTGTATGCTTTATTGTCCAAAATATATGGCACACATATTAGTGACACAAAAATATATATATGCATACCTATGATGTATATACATGTTTTGCAAACCAAATAACAATAGTGACAGCCAGTTGTATCATTGCACTTGAAAAAACCATGGTAAAACATTAGAAGTACTACAGTGGAACCTTGGTTTACAAATGCCCTGGAGTACAAATTTTTTGGTATACGAAGTCAAATGCATCGTAAAATTTAACCTGTGTACGGTTTGCTTCAGAGTACAACTCGTTTGTTGATACTTGTATGGGTCAGGAGCGTAGGTTCATTGTTTTTCAACTTTTTTGGTTTCTGAACAGAAACGTTCTTATTATATCACACCATGGGTCCCAAGAAAATCAGTAGTAAAGTTCGGCCTAAGAAAATAGTTGTGAGGATGACACTAGGAAAAAAAAAAAAAATAATTCATGAACATGAACACGGTTTGTGTGTGGTTGATCTGGCTAGGAAAATGTGTTCAGTATCAGAAGAACTCCAAAGTTTTGCTGAAAAGACTCACCCAGATAAAGCTGTAGCAGGCCATTGCATTAACCCTTTTAATGACAAATGTGATGTCTCGATCGACAAAGTGTTAAAACGTCGAGAAAAAGTGTCGCTAGACAGGTTTTTAGTGAGAAAAACAAGCAGTGAGCCACAAGCAGGTCCTAGTGGTATGCTGGCAATACATAGGATAGAGAGTACCCCAGAAGTCCTCACTGCCTGATATTATAATGGAAGAAGACTCGCCTTCCAAACAGTAACACCTCTCCTCCTCCCCCCCCCCTCTCACTATCTTCCATATGCCAACAAGTCCTCAATAAAGGTATGGTACAGTAAAAAATATGAGTAGCATTTTGTATAGAATGTATTTTCACATTAATATTTTTGGGTGTGTGTAACGGAGTACTTGAATTTACATTATTTCTCATGGGAAAATTTGTTTTATGTATGAATTTTCAGTGTACGATCCGTTTCTTGGGAAGGATCAAATTCCTAGACTGAGGTTCCACTGTACAAAGGAAATATTATATATTCAATGCGAGAAGTTACAATTTTGTGTAAAACATGCAGAGCTAGGCTAAACTCTGACCACATGTTATACGAGATTATCACACCCAATTACTGCAAATGTATATACAGTAGTTATATGTAGAATGTATGCAGAGTAACAACAGCGAAAACATGTTCTATGTTGTAAGCATATAAATAGGTAGAAAACCAGCGCTGAATGTAATGAAACGCCAGTTTCTGGGCGAGCCCTGGAGGCTCCCTGAATCTTACTGATCAAGTGCCATATTACTCGAGTCATCAGTCGCAGAGTTCTTCATTGCCTACTGGGGACCAGAGCCAGAAACTGGCCTCCTCAGAGGTGCAGGGAGCAATGGCCTATGAACACTTTACATTGAAAATGTCATACTTGCCACTGACCAGGAAAGGCACCCATAGAGATAGGCGAAACAAAACAGCCCACTGTCTGGTTGAAAATTGTGACCTATGTTCGCAAAAGAGCAAAAGAACTCGCCCATAGAGCAAACAAACAAGCAAAACTCCGTCCAACTGTCTCCCGCTCATGGCAGTGCCACCCCCTCCAGCAGGGTGGAGGGGAAGCCATCCTGGGTATGCCGGGCCACCCCAGTCAATTCTTTGAATGATGAAAATCATCAACCGGAGGGAGGGTGTCAGGGAGCTTCCGGGGCTTACCCAGAAACTGTCTTTTCATACATTCAACGCTGGATTTCTATGAGGAGCCGATAGGGCTCCTCGATGCTAACTACCCACAAAGAAGAAAAAATGGGAAATAACCAGGGAGGCAGCAAGCAGCCCCACAGTTCTCAACCCAACAAAGAGACAGCCGTCAGTAACAGAAGCTCAAAAGTGACAAGACCGTAGAGGGCCCAGGAAATTCACGAGAGCAAGCTGGCCAGAACCTTGACCGATCTCCAAAACCCCCGTGTCCGATTGCCGAATGACATATTCCCGAAGACAGCCAGAAGAGCTGCCGATACCCCTAACAGCAAGGGCATAAGGGTAGACCGCAGGATGGCTAGACATAAGGACACTGTGGATGACCAGAGACACACGAGCCCTGAAACAGGGAACCAGGGAAAACCGGAGAACCCAGAAATGGCCACAGATAGAATCGGTGCCCCGCAGGGAGCAGCGCAAAGCAAATACCAGACATTGCAACGTCAGCTGCACCAAACATCCACGACTAACGGACATCTCCGGAAGCCTACCATCTCTTATCTTCGCCAGAAAAGAAGGAGCTGGCAGCAAATGAATAAAATGACCACTAGGACCAAAAGAACGATAACACTTACCAAAAAATATCACAAACAAGAAGGCTCTGGCGGCGCATGAGCAGTCCGGAGATGAAAAAAAGCACAAAAAAGTTTGCGAAACAAGCCAGAAGTGACATCCACCTTGAATGCAAGCAGCAGCAGCTCCTCCAACGCCTCACGAGAAGAAGAAATAGTAATCGGCAAATGATGCCAAGCCAGAAAAAGCCAGAAAGAGGGGTCGGAACTTTTCCAACCCAGATGAAAAATGGCGGAAAGCCTGCCAAGAAAGCCATATTGCTGCCGAGAAGAAAACCACAGATGAGACTATCAATTTAACCACCTGATTATCATATAATTGGCAACACATGCATCAGAAGAAAGACCAGAGGCATATTGCAGAGAAGGTTGAACCAGCTAGAACTTCACTTGGCCATCCTGCAGAAAGGAGCCCTGGAAAAATACCCGGGTTCAGCTGGAACCAAGGCAAGACCGTCCACAGTGGGGCCATGGGGCCAGGAGAGCAACCCTCCCTTGAGAGTATTCGAGCCGAGCCAGAACCTGGAGCAACAGCCAGACCTGGGGGAAGAGGTACAGGAACAAGACCCATCCCAACAAGTCCTGCCGAAAAGCATCCACCACAAGAGCTTCGCAGGGAAGAAAAGGCATTGACCACACCGGTACAAAGATGACCACCTAAGGGCATCCGGATGTCCAACAAAACCAATGGAAGGAGCTGGCGTTGACCATCCACACCGAGGAATGAAGCGAGACAGCCTGTCTGCCAGGACGTTGGACACTCACTGAATGTGAACAAATGTGAAGTTCTCCATTCCTCAAATTGCAGAACAGGAACTTGAGGCCGGAGGTGACCGAGTGACCGCCAGCACATCAGGTTGAGAATTGAGGTGGTGGACAGCCGCCTCACCCTCCCCCTTGTTAGGAGGGAGAGTTATGCTTACGAGAGGGAGTACTAATTTTGTGTCGAGATGCCAGTTTCTACTATTTTCTGTTACTTTCTTTTGTCTAGAATTTCTTAGCTTTTCTGGCTTTAGATAGCAATTTTACCGGCTAGTTGTTTGTTTTGGTTCGCCTATCTTTCTGGGTGCACACCCTGGTTGATGGGCAGAATATGACATACTGGTACTTTAAAGGTAAAATGCTCTGACGCCATTCCTCCCTGCGCCTCTCTGCGGGAACCAGGTTCTGGCTCATTATTCCCGGTAGGCTGAGAACTCCAGCGAGTGATGACCCCAAACTAACACAGTACTATATAGCACATTAGTTCGAATAGCGTCAGGGAGCAGACGGGGCTTCCCCAGAAAAGATTGAGGTACTAGAGAGAAACCAGCACCAATCATATAAATAGAACACAGCAGGCAGGTGTTTTCTCTTAATTTACTTCTAACATTTACACACGTAATTCTCAAGGACTAACAACTGTTCTACCATGGACTGACATGTATTCTCCCATGGACTAATTCTCTTATGGACTAACACCTGTTCTTTTATGAATTAACACCTGTTCTTTTATGAACTAACACCTGTTCTCTCAGACTAACACCTATTATCCCATGGATTAACACCTATTCTCCCGTGGCCAAAAATCTTACTTACACTCTTACTATAATGTTTGTTAAAAAATAAAACACTATCTAAAAATAAATAATAAATAGAATGAAATACCTTCTTTTATGTCATTGCTGTCCTTCCTTTGACTGTTTGTATTTTTGTTGTTGACATCAGAGGTATTCTCTTCCTTAGAGTCATCCCATTCTGCGAACTCTTCAGGTGATTTTTCCTCGGGTTCCTCATCTACTTCTGGGTTTGGCTTGGGGGTATCCACTGTAAACATTCGTTGAAAATTAGGGTGTCCTATTGTCCAAATGAATGTTACAATTGCGGGTACATTAAATATACATTTACAGGAAAATGTGGGAGGGGAAGAGGTTGCCAAGGGCTTGATAATTCAAACAAAATCCCTTATGCAACGAATTGGCCTCACTCCATATACAGTACAGCTGTTTTTTCAAGCAAGTTCACTGTATATGGTTCAGAGTTGAAACAGATTGTACAAGTTATTTGAGTGGGTATGGACATTGAGTGTATCAGCTTTCAGGAGTTCATGAAATAATGGATTTTTGTTATTTTGTTGACAAAGGTCAGTGCTGAACGTTATCACCTAGAATGATGTGACTTATTGAGACGTTGATTAATACCTAGACAAATTTGACAAAAAAGGTACAAACTAGAGGTAGTCTGGTATGAATATAAAATCAAGTACTGCATGGAACTTGAAAAAGGTTAGCAAAGATGATCACTGATACCAGTCTCTAGCATGACAGTCTCACCTTTTGGAGGAGTAGCAGGAGGCTTCTTCTCGGGAGGTTTACCAGCTCCCGGCCCAATTTTCCCAGCACCCATGTTGGCCAAAACAGCCCCCAGCCCACGTTGGACCAGCATTTCCCGAGCTAAAAGAATAAATATTTTGTTTCAAAAATGTTTTTTATAAATGTCATTAAATTCCATAGTGCACAGTCCACTCCAACCCATCCACCTGTTTAAATAGTTCTTTCTGTGGAGAGCCCCTTCGGCTTCCCGGAGGTATATTGGGGTGATGTGCATATATTAGACTGAGGCGACAGTAAATCGATGGAGCTCTAGGCCTACTGGGGACCACAAGCCAGAACCTGCCCCCCCCCCCCCCTCAGAGAGGCACGAGGAGCAATGACCTATAGACACCCCTCATGTAATTGGAAGCAGTCTATATCTGCCATCTACCAGGTCAGGCACCCAGAAAGGAATTCCAAAACAAACTACAGCTGGTTAAAAATTACAAACCGAAAGCTGAACTAAAAGGACTAAAACTAGAACTAAACATGGAAGGAAACGCGAACTAAAATGAGCGCAAACTAGCAAACAGAACTTCCCAATCAAAACCAAGCAAACAAACATGACGTCACCACAGCCACCACGCCGCTATCTGTGCAACTCCCCCCTTCCTGGGAGGGGACGGAGGGGGGGGGGGGGCAGACCTCCCTCGCTGACTACTTAACCCCAGTTCACATGTTGTGATGGTGGCGGCAGTCGATCGACTCTGGCTCCATGCTTTGAGCAGTGCTGCATAGCGGTGTTGTTGGTGTGCGAGCCAGGAGTAACACCAGAGTACTGGGGCTGCATGCACCTAGGACCACCTTCCCTAGGTGCCCTGTAAGTACTGCCCTTGAGGCTTAGGGTTAACTTCCACGAGGTGTTCGGGAGAGGCTACCTCCGTGAGGTTCTGTTGTTGCTCGGTGATTGCCTGCCCTTGGGGTTCAGCTGGGGTGGTTCTTACTCCTATTTGGCCATGGGTAGGAGGCAGTATCATCGCTCGCTGGGGCACGAGATACTGTGCAGCTGTCAGATATACACATAGCGGCCGGTTCTGTTCACCTGGAGATGATGTGCTTTTGCGGGGGATTTCTTTTTTGTTTTGCAGATAGAGGTCTGCCTGGTGTGGCAGTAGGACCACTTGTATGATTTTGGTGGTCCTCTGCTAGGTCCCCGTGCTTGCACACATTGCAGGGGTTCAGCTTTTAGTTTGCTTGGTAGCTCTGGGATAACCGGTTAGCATTACCTTGACTGGGCTTCCCTTAGCAGTCAGCCTAAGGGCCTTGGGAGTCCCCATTGGGGCTCATTGGTCCGATGGAAGAGACCTCAGAATCTCACCTCGCTTCGTACGAGTTCGAAGGTTGCTCTGTCCCCTTGTCTCAAGGGACTCACTGTCTTTGCCTCCGCCATGCTGCCTGTTGGGTCAATGACACCTTTGACCCGGAGTCCTGAGAGTTGTGTTCCTTGCTTGTACTCCAATTCATCCAGTCCACTGGAATTGATATTTGGGTGCAGGCTGCTTCAGCATTGCATGTGTAGGTTAGGTTGCTGCAACAAGCTAGGTTGGTTGCCTTTCCAGATGCCCCGCAGCAGTCCCATTTTGGTTATAGAGACCCAGACTTGGGGGTGTTAGTTGCCTCGACTTTGGTTTTCTCCATACCCCTTATCCTTCCCCTGCTGTGGTGGTTCATCCTGAACCCCCCCCCCCCCAAAAGTCTGAGGGTTTCATAGTCGGGGGCAGGGTTTTCTTGGTGGCGAGACTCGGGCGGCATCAGGAACTGCCCCTTCCGGTTCGGCAGCAGAAGCATTCGAGACGGTTCTTCATGCCAGGGCTTTTGGGTTGTGCTAGCGCCTTCATCCCTGCTTTTCCAGTGGACTCTTGCCTTCTCTCCAAAGGCAGAGGGTTTGGAGGACGGCTCGGTCCCGTATCCTGAGGTGGAGGATCCCGGGGCTGGAAGGAGTTGACTTGGGGGCTTGAGCCCCATCTGACCCCACTTGGGTGTTGGTATCCTTGGTGCAGGGCTTGTTGTTCCAGGGAGAGGGGTTTTCCTATACCTCCTCCTCGTACTAGTTTGATACGAGTTCGACTCCTCACCGGAGGCCAGATTCACGAAACGGTTACGCAAGCACTTACAAACCTGTCCATCTTTTCTCAATCTTTGGGGGCTTTATTTAAAATTATTAAACAGTTAATGAGCTCCGACACACCAGGAGGCTGTTTATAACAATAACAACAGTTGATTGGGAAGTTTTCAAGCTTGTAAACTGTTTAAATGTAACCAAAGATGTCAAAGATTGAGGAAAGATGAACACGTTCGTAAGTACTTTCGTAACTGCTTCGTGAATTTGGCCCCAGGTTCCCTTGGGTTCCTCGATTCCGTCCATCCAGAGATTTTCGGCCTCGCGCATCCCACCAAGGAAGGTGTGGGGGCCCTTGCAGCTTACGTCCTGCAAAACCCGAATTACACCTCGATAATAGATCTTTTTTTTTTTAGTTTGGCTCCTCTTTTTTCCTTACTGGGTGTGTTACAAGGGGCTGGAGTCTTCCTGGCTGGTAACCTACCCTTTCTTTTCGTTGGAGGCATGGCATGCGTTCTGTCAGACCCGCACACTTGAGTGGCGGGAGTCGACTACAGTCGTTCAGGTTTACCTGGGGGAGGGGGGGTTGAGCCAAGTTTGAGCACCTCAATGCGTGCTTGTTCGACCCATGCTTCCTCGTGATATCACTCAGGTGCAGCTTCACATGGAGGCTCCCTCCCTTCGGCGTCTCTTGTGGCTGAGGATTTTCACACCCGTAAGCATATGGCTTTGGTCTTGTGCTTCTTTTCCCTGCTGGAGCCGTCTTCAGACTGGCTCGAGGAGGATGTGAAGGAGTTAAGGTTCCGAGCCTGTGTCCGGTGTGCTTGCCTTGGTGGCTCGGGAGTCGGCTGCCTTGTTTGAATTGTTTGCGCTGATTCTGAAGGCAACAGTGTGTCTGTTCTTTGCTTCCCGCCTCGCGTGCTGACAGGGAGTGCTCGTCCACTCTTTGGAATCCGCTCGGGCCCTGGTTTTTACATTTTTGTCCCCTTTTTATCCGTTGCTGTTTGCAGTCTGCAGTGGTGCATTTTCTGCAGGCAGCTTCGTCTAGTTGCTGGCCTACGTCGGATTTGTTGGTTCTCCTGGGGAAGGAGGAGGAAGTTCCTGCCCGGAAGGGTTGTGCCAGGGCTCGGGGTTCCTTTGGTCGTCCTAAGCCAGTTGTGCCATCTTCGAGATCGGCCCCTCATGCGGAGCCGTCGGGGTCTGAACGGGGCAGTGATCGTTCCAAGCGTCAGTCGGGCTCTCATCGTGGTCATCGGCTTTTTCGTGGTTCGCCCCATTGATGGGGCGATGGGAAGGAAGGCTCACGCTGTTTGCTCTCACCTGGACCCACGATTCATGGGCATTTCGGGTAGTTTCCTCTGGCCTGCAGTGGCATTGGGTGGCTCCTCCTTTGGGGGTTTTGGGGCTGGCAGGGCAGGCCTCTTCTGCACTCTTTCGGGTCATCCTGGAGTGGGTTCGCTTGGGCGTGGCTGAAATGGTGGGTTTCTCAGGTGGGTTTCCCGCCTGTTTCTAGTTCAGAAATGGGCCTGTGCAGGACTGCGGTTCATTCTGGACTTGTTCCAACTGAGCCCCTGGGTCTTTTGCCCCTCCTTTCGGATGACCACTCTGTCCTAGGTCCGGTTGCTTTTGGAGCCGGGTACTTGGATGGTATCCCTGGACCTCTGGGACGCATATTGGCACATCCCGATTCATCCGGGGTTCAGGGACTGTCTCGGTTTTGTCGTGTGGCGACAGGCTTACCGTTTTCGTTGCTCATCTTTTGGCTTAAATCTGTCACCTCGTGTGTTCACATGCCTAACCCGGATCGTGACGACCCGTTTGCGTCTTTTAGGTGCTCAGATTCTGGCTTACCTTGACGACTGACTGGTTTGGGCTCCCAGCCAGTCCTTGTGTCTGCTCGCCAGGGATTTGGTTCTTTCCCAGGTCGCCGGGTTCGGGTTCTTGGTGAACTGGATGAAGTCCCATTTGGTTCCCTCTCAGGTTTGGACAAGACGAGTGTCTTGTGTGGGACACTTGGACCACTTCCTTGTCTCTCCCTCCCAAGGCATTGCTGCGGCTGCTGTCCCGCCTTCGGCTGTTTTTGGAAGGCACCCGGGTTACGTGTCGGTTGTTCGAGCAGCTGTGTGGGAGTCTGAACTTCGCTAAGCTGACCTGACGGGTACGTCAGGTCAGATCTGCCTTTGGCTGTTCTGGTTCCTTCAGGAACATCCCTTCCGCTGTTCTCGCGATTGCTGGGTTCGGACCCCGTGGGCCTTGCGTCGGCTGCTGCATCACCGGCTTCCTCTTCGAGTTTTTCAGGGTTCTGTGCCGTGGCGCCTTCCCGAGCCCTCGCTTGGTGTGTTCACGGATGCCTCGTCTCTCTGCTGGGGCTTTGTGACCAGCGTTCACCAGGCCGGCTAGGGTCGGTGGGGTCTGTCCTCCCGTCGGGCTCACAGCATGGCATGGGAGTTCGCAGCAGTGGGGCATTCACTCCAAAGGGTTCTAGTCGCTCGTGAATCAATGATCCGTCTCCATTCGGACTGCTCCCCTGTGGGTCACTGTCTGAACCACCAGAGTTCGATGCGGTCCTTGGCTCTTTGGGGCTGGTCTCTTCAGGTGACTTTTGCTGAGTTCTCGGGGTTTGGCTCTCCTGGCGACTCATGTCCAGGAAGTGTTCAAGGTTCTGGCAGAAGGCCTGTCCCATTTCGTTCCCCTGTCCACTAAATAGCCAGTCGACGGCAACTCGTTCCATTGGCTCTGCCGGATGTTCGGGTGCCCAGACGTGGACCTCTTCGCGTCAGCATGGTCTAGGCGTCTTCTGGTATATGCGGTGCCCTTCCCTAACTGCAAGGCCGCTGGGGTCGATGCCTTTCGACTGGACTGGTCGAGGTCAAGTCCTGGTGGCCCCTTGGTGCTGGCATAGCTGTGGTTTCAGTCGCTACTTGCTTGGTTTCCAAACCCGATGGATTTCCCACGACACAGTCTTTTTCAGCAGATTAGTCCAGTCCTGTACATGGCTGGTTTGATCTTCTCCTCCACTCTT